TTGCTTTACTCAACTACGGATAGGCGCAATCACTGCCATCGAAGCAACTCATTTCTGCTTTATCCACTACTCTCTACCCTCACATTAATTATAGCTTCTGTACCATACTTCACCAGTATCTCCACCTCTCAACGTCTAAAAAGACTCATGAATTACCGCTACAACAACTTTACCACCGTGAGGTCACTAACGTGCTATGTGGTTGGCTCAGAAGGCACAACCGCAAATGGCACCCTACACTTTTGCAGAGCAATGCGCACACCATTAGGGCCGACATCATTGCGTCAAAGTTAAAGTATTGAAATATGTAAGACGGGGAAATACACTACAAGAGAGGGAATGTCAAATGAACAAGTGTTTTAGCGGACAACATATGGTGCACTCTTTCCACGAAAAACACTTAGGTGAAGTAGGTGAGAAGCGGTTGCGAACGTAGACATGATCTACTTCACTCCTAATTACCGCTAGGAAGAATTAGTCGCGCTTATTACCTATCTACTTTTACATCACAAAGGTGACAACATCTAAAGCAGCGACTTGGCACCTGCAAACTCTACTCCATGTCTAGGGGCGTCTGCGACCCAAACGCGAACTACTTGCAAGGCGATCAAACTCCAGCTAAATAGCGGTCTCGAGATCACACTTTCGATGGAACAATTAACCCCTGAAATCACCATTCAGCAAAAATTCATTGGCACACCCACTTACCACCTGCACCACATGTAAATAAATTTTAGTAATTCAACCACTTAATGTAGTCAAAGAATAAGAAATTTGGAATCAAGACCACAACATTCAGATAGAAAGGGAAAAAAAGGATTCTCATCGTAACCGCACCTTGATATGCGTCAACAACTCCGCAATACGTGAGTTCAGCATAATGGCCCTCCCTAGGCATATTATGGCAGTCGTAAGTACCATTATTGTTCTCATGAGCTGAGCAGGTAGCGAGAACATCTGATCCATCCCCGAGATTATGAGCCACTTGAATTTTCACTATGGGTTCAGCATTCTACTTAGTCATTGACTCAGTGAATATTTTTTCAATTTGATAGTTATGGAATCAAACCGGTCATTTTATCTTAAAGAGAGATGATATAACATGAAGAAATCAAGCAAGAATCAGGTCTAGCTAATGAATTGGCTCCATTGTCGTCAAATAAATTATATTGCATGGAGTTCCCTGGAATGTGTCAATACATTTGACAGTACACTTACATTGCTAGTCACTATCAAACTAGGACCAATCAGAAAGATAAATTTAACTCTTCATGTATATCACTACCTAAGTAGCACAAATATTTGAAGCATTCTCTAACAGAATATAAAAACCCAACTGCTGACGTGTACAACTTCGCAGAGTTGTTGACACATATCACGGTGCGTATCTTATGAATATCCATAGGTGATACCACATGGTGGCGGCCGTGTATTTCCCCACCTTTGGATTGTGCGTTTAGCATAGGGTCGACAAATTGTATCTCAGTGGCATTCTAAACCACAAATAGGCGATGGATTTATGAATTAAAGGAAGTTTTGACTCCTGAAGTGCCGTACTCATCAACACGGTATTTGCCCAGGTTGATACTTTGAAGATCAGTCCGTCATATTCAAGGAAGAGTGATGGTGCATCGTAAAGAGATCAGTACGAGTTTAAATTTGACGAATGGGTTGGCACTGCTGATATTATGCAAATTCCCTGCAATGTGTCAATGCATTTGACAATGCACATTTCTAGCATATCTTTTTCAAACTGTGGTCCAGAGAGAAGATACTTCTAACTATTTAAGAACATTTCTATCTAGTTAGCGCATGTAAATTAGCCGTTGTTATGTAACATGATTTACAAGCTTGACCGCCATCAGACCTACAGTATGATTTTACACAGGTTAAGGAACTAGAAATATGTTGAACATGGGAAATGCAGACATGTGCAGGACAAATTGCAAAGAGAAGTGCTAATCTTAGGTGAAAGTACATTGACATTGTATTAAACATTCCTCCTATCTTTAACCCAGAATGTTGATTAATTGGGCTTTGGTTCCAAATAATCCTCGGTTTTGACATTTATTTCCAACTGATCGAGTAACGGCTATTTGTGGTAAAGCTTATGGGCCAAATTCCGGCAGCTGATTATTCACGGTTTCATCGTTTACTTTAAACGGGTCTAAAAATAGCTAGATGTGAGGAAGTCAATGCATCGCATAACGACTACTATATTTCGGCGGTTTCGAAACTTGTTTATTGCGGGTTTAATAATAGCTAACCAATGTGCGTATAGGTAGGGTGTCTATACAAGATAGGGAACAAATTATTGTACCACAAAAGCGGCCAGTGATCGAGGTGAGTCGCTTTCGTTTTTTTACTGCTGAATTTATAAGTCACTTTTTATAATCCCCGTTACTCTTCCTTATTATCACGCATCTTTGCGTACCATCTCTTTGTGAGATTATTCCAACTTCCTGCAGAATGTGGTTATTGTGCACCTTTTAAAGGAATGCACCTCGTACATGAATATTTGTTTAGATTTTTAAGAGTAGAACAAACTACCTTCGATGCCCCAATTCGAACACTACAGTATGTGATACAAGTTTGATAAAACAGCTGGCATTGCTTGATTTACCTTCCGCAGACAAACAAAATGGAAGAGGAGACATCGAGAGTGCAAAACTTCACTCCAGTTCACGAAGAAGCTGACTATGCCGGGTTAATGCAAGATGACTGGTGGACACGCGTACGCTCTGATGAGGGATCAAAGGTGAACGAAAGTGGGCCTAAAGCAGAGGATCGCAAACTCACGGTGACGAATTCAGTTTCTTTATCACATTCCGACCCTAACACATGTACCGACCCCTAATATTCAAAATACATTTCTTTCTGTTCTTACCTTATGTATGATTCTTGTATTGGCACATCTGCAAGCTTTAAAAGCATCACACATTGCCTTTTGGATTTGTTAGAATGAATACGGAGTGCATATTTAGGATTGCTTCTTTGCCTTGTTTTTGCGGGTTCTTTCTGCGATCTTAGCTACAATAACTACAAATTGCTTACATTCTCTTTCGGCTGATAGTGCAGAGATTAATGATTTCGCACACATTAATAGCAGTTTTTTGGTTCACATTTTGTCTGCTCGGTCGAGGCATTTGTTACACATTCCCTGTAGGCATTTCAGTGCTACTTCGAGTTTGATGCTTTTATTAAAAGATTTTTTACGTTAGCACCAGACAGTGATCCCCTAACAGTTCAGACGTCCTGTGTTTTCCTACCTAAATTCATTGCCGACTTTTATATTCAATCCTTGCTAATAAAAATAGTGATTCGGCGGTAATAATGCGTGAGATATTGTCATTGCATTTGACATGGATCTGACTCATCTAGCTGCAAGGCGAGAGGTAGGGATAATATACGTAATTTGCGGCAGTAAGTGAACCAACACGCCTGCTGCATACCTGTCAAATGTAATCGTAGGGCGACACTTACCTTAAAGCAAGGAATCACACATGACAAAATCGACAATCAATCACAATCAAAATGTGTCTACTAATCGACTTTCAAAAAGTTCGCATGCTCAGCTTTGACATAAAAGAAGCGAA